AAGTCTCAAATGACAGCAACTGTGAACAGGCTTTACAGAAATAAAATAGAAACCAGCACAAGCAAAGAACTCATGCACAATCAGCTAGACGAGAGGCCAGAACCTCCCACTGCCTGGTCATCAAGTGTATTCCAGGGTAAGTTAATAGCAAGGGCAACCCCACAATGTGTCACATACACTAGTAAGATTCACTGTAGAGGGAATTACCAGTACATAAACAGAACTGGGGGAGAGGTCAGCCACATCACTGAAATGAACAGGCTGCCATTTAGCAAGCTCAGGAGAGAAGCCAAGAAATAAGGGAGCTGTTGAGATTGAAAAAGTCTCTCTCTGGAGAGATCTCTTCAGGTTAGGACTGAGGTGGGAGGGTGAGAGAAGCTGGAACCAAGCCACTTGTTCTAGGGATGGGATGACTTCACCTTGAGAGCCAGCGCTTTTTGCTCAGCGAACCAGGAGAACTACTGATTTAGGAATCCTTCTAGAGAGGCAACCTCAAAAGCAAGATCATGACTCCCTCGGGAGAGGTGTCTATAATTCCCACTGGTTCATCTAAGCCCTCAGGTCCCAGCCCCTGGAGCTAGGGCTTTTGCACTGCCTGTTGCTACATGCACCTGGAAATCTAACAAGTGCTGAGAATTTTCAGTCAGCTTCAACATGTGCCAGAGGGTAGAGGCTGGTTCCTCCTTTGTGTCTGTGTACTGCCTAGTGCACTCAAGTCCCAATGTTGATTAGAGCTTGTAAGGGGCTTCCACAATGTGATCAGATGCTTCTCGCATGCGAGAAAGTGACTGTGCTTTGACTCTTCATCCCTAAGAACTGCCAACAATACAGTATACAAAAGGCACCCGTCTAGTATGGGGTGATGGGCTTAAACTGTTGCAGTAAAACATCACCAGTGCAGAACGCCCCTCATGACCATTAACGACGTGCATTACACAGTGCCCAGAAGCCACAGCTGTGATTGTAGCTGCGTTGTGCTGGACCCTGCACAAAAACCAAGGAAAGACTGTTTCAACCTTGGAGGTCCAATACAGGAACAAGAGGCAGCAGATAGGCAGGGAGAGAAGGAAGCAAAGGAGGTAATTAATGGGATTGCCACAGCATTGCCTACGCTCACTAGAGGCAGACATGTTACTTTTTGTTATTAGAATAAGTGAAGCAGAGCTACAGATGAATCATTAGAAGGCTATTTGTCTAATCATTATCATAAAGCAGCTTTTCAATAACAAGCAAGGGATCTGCCTGGTGTGGGCATGTCTATGTGCATGCGGGAGGTGGGGGTGTTGAGATGTGTGGAAGATGTGGGAATCCAAGCAACAAGGCACAAAGGAATCCAGCAATTATTGTGAGCACAGCTGCATTGTGACTGCCCACCCTGGCAGATCCCCATCCAGCTTAGTGCCCTGAGGAACAAAGGATGATCTAGAGCAGTGGTTCCTCATCTGTGATACAGGTGCCACCAGTGGTACGCAGACAACCTGTCAGTGGTACGCATTAACAGATTTATTATAATTACTTTATATGACAAAAGTTTGCTGGTGGTACTTCAGGTTGTATCATTTTAAATTGGGGGTGCGCAATCTGTCAGAGTTTGGGAACTGCTGATCTAGAGGGAGCGAACAAACCTGTAAACCACAGCACCTCATGAGGTAGCCACCAGCCCTGCCTGACACGGAGGAGAGGTGTAAGATCACCCTTCTGGTATTCATAGGCAAGACCGAAACTGCAGGACTAGGAGACACAGCCTCCCTCTCCCCTGCCAGCCTTCCAGGCCCGAACAGCCTCCTGGATGGGGGCAGGTCATGGGTATTTCTGAGCCATGCTCAGCCTCAGTGACCTGCTCCAGCGGCTGTCACTCAGAGGGACGTGGTGTCCCGTGCCAGAGCTGGGAACCGCGGACTTCAGACTGAGACCTGCTCCCACGAGCTCTCGCTCCAGTCTGGTGCTTGAGGACAGGCCAGATTCACTGTCACTCGGTGTCAAGCAGCAGGTCCTTCACAATGACTGCTGCCAGGATGACCAGCAAGGCCGATCCCTTCAGCACCGTGCATCTGCCGGTGAGCAGATCACTGGGGAGGATCTGAGTCTACACATTTCACGAGCTCTGCCAGGGGTGGATGCTGAAGGGAAAAAGCTTTGTTACTTTATTTACGCAGCACATCAGGGCTGTAAAGTACCCTGCCAATACTAGGGGATGATCCTGGCAGCCAATCTGGCAAACAGGATCCCCCTTATTTCACAGGGAGGGAAACAGAGGCAGAACGGATGGAAGTGCCGGAGCTCAGATTCAAACCGAGACCTTCCCTTGCACCCCGGCGCTGCCCAGGCCGCCCCCCGGCGTCAGTGCGACAGCGGACGCTGCACCCGACTGCCGGAGAGGCTCCTCCTGAAACCGACAGCCGGCTCTCGCGGGCCCCACCGCCTGGGCCAGGCCGGGGCAGCTCCGGGAGGCAGCGCCTCTGCCCTTCCCGCCCCGGGCCCGCGCTCCCCTGCTCCCCTGGCCCCGATCCCGGGGGGCGGGGAGGGGAAGGCCCCCTCGGGGAGCCCCCGGTCCGAGCCCCGCGCCCGCACTCACCTGCCCGCGGCCCCGCCCGGCTGCCGGGGTCGGGGGGACGCAGGTTCGTTCCGCTTCCGGTGCCCGGGGGGGCCCGCACGCTCCTGGGGCCGCTCCCCCCCCGCCGCCGACCCCGCTGTCAACAAATCCAGCCGTCACTTCCGGCAGCTGGACAGTCCGGGACTGGAAGCCGTCGTGTCTTCCGCCGGAAGCAGCGTCCCGGACGGAACGCTGCCCGGCCTGGGGCCTCGGCTCCTCCTCGCCACGGCCCATGACACTGCACCCCGGCCCTTGTGGAGCCTGCGGGGTCCCAACCCGCAGTCACGCTGTGTGGTGGCCTCGTGACTTCACGTTGTGCCGTATTACATCAGACTAACACAGCACAAGTCTGGTACCCAAACGTATGAGGGCATGATGTCATTACAGTAGCGCGTGGTGGCGTGGCCCTATCAGGAGAACTCACTTCATGTTGTTACTGTGTCGGGGGTGGGGGGGAAGGCTTTGCCCTCACATAAGAAGGGGTTTTAAACCCAAAGGCTTGCTAAAGAAATGTTTTCCCAACTATGTGAGTTGGGCTAATAAAAGATTTCAGATTCACCCAAAGAACCGTGTCTGCCAGGGTCTAGTGCAGGCACTTAGGGCTCAAGTATAGATGAGTAATATAGCTGCATTAATGTATTTATATTGTAAATAGCAATCATATTGATTTGGAAGGACTTCTTTGAGGTGACTTTGCTGGACCTGTTGAAGGGCTCTTGGCTGGAGTCTTCTCAGGGGTCTTGGCTGCAGGTTTTCCTGGACTCTTGTCTGCTTTCTTAAAGAAAGTGTCCAAGGAAGTTTGGACAGATGTTCTCCAGGGAGATGGGCGACACAGCGAACTTGTTCGCTGGTGTGGGATGGCACCAGATCAAGCGTCGTAAAGACAAAACTGATGTCAGAAAGTCACAACAGGATGTTGATTTATAAATGTCATAAGTGCCATTTGTTGCAACTCAAAACATCTTAAGTCAAGCACTGTCTGTACTGTCTTCACTGTGTTTCCTCAGTGACAGAGCTTGAACTGATCCTGCCCCAGACCCCGTTCATGCTTGAGAACAAAGTAGAATTTGATCCTTGCTGGGTATATAGGAGGTGAGAGAGACTGTTCCTCTGTTCTGGGAAAATAATGCATGATAATTCCATATACACTAAAACCAGCAGCAGAAGATTCTTTGAACCAAAAAATGAGTGAATCCTGTTATCTCCAATGCCTGATGAAGGGTGTTTGTGCCTGAAATCTTGCAATTAAAGATTTTTTTTTGCAAAAATCTTGTTGGTCTAATAAAAAAATATCACCTCTACTACAAGCCCTGATTCCTGTTTGTTCTGGCACTGGAGATGGCAACTGAATTTCAGAAGGAACCAAAGCCTTCCTTAGTGCTATTAATGGAGGAAAAACTGGGGGCAACATAGTGAAACTATAACCCAGAGGGTGCAGTTCCACACGGTCCCATCTGAACTGATTCGTTCCAGTGTAAAAACTGCCTTCTCCATAGTGCAAATCCCAGTAGCCTCCATTAGATGTCCTTCAACTGATCTCTGTGGGTGTCATTTGAAGAACGACTATCTCCACGAAACAGCAGACCTCCATGTTGTGTCCTAAAACCTACTTAATCAAATGGATCCCGATTAAAAATTTGAAGGAGGGCTGGGTCGTTTCCAGCTATTTATTTTTTTTAAATGAAAATATATCTATTTCCAGCTAAGCCTTTCCATCCACCAACGATATTTAAGACCTTCAGCTCAGTTGTGTCCTCCTTAGGAACCCCCAGTTCCTTATCACTATCAAGTAGGAAACCTGTGTTTCTTTGTGGTGTGCTCTGGGCTGGTAGGAGCTGGCCAAAGAACCAGGATTTGGGCCATTTGGGTTGGAGGATTCATTCCATCTAAGCCAGGAGCGGGCAACTATTTTGGGCAGAGGGCCGCTTACTGAGTTTTGGCAAGCCATTGAGGGCTGCGTGACAGGCAGCCAGGGGCAGATAAATGTTAATTTTCTAATTTTTTTAGGGGCCCCGTGGGCTGGATAGAATGGCCTGGTGGGCTGTATCTGGCCCGCAGGCTGCATTTTGCCCACCCGTAGTCTAAGCGACATCACCAAAGACCTAAAAAACCTTTCTAGTGCCTCTCCCAACGACCCAAGAGAGGGACACTGAGGCCCTCTCTGCCCGCCTCAATCCCAGGACAGGCCAGGAACGAGGAGCAGCTGGCATCAACCTGCTCCCAAGGCCCTAAAAAAAGGCAAGTCCTGCCCTCCACGCCTTGCCCTGTGCGCTCGCAGGCCCGTGCCCAGGAGCCCCCCTAGTCGTCGCCCGGGCAGGAAGGGCTGCAGGACAAGCCCGGGAACGGGACGGGGCGGAGCGGGGCCGGGTTTCCCGCCGGAGCCTTGATCTCGCAGCGCCGGCGCGGGGCCGGGTTTCCCGCCGGAGCGCTTATCTCGGGGCGCAGGCGCGGGACAGCAGGAAGTCACCATGTCGAGTCTGCACAAGAGCAGGTGGGGCCGGCTCGGGCCGCCGCCGCCTGAGCTGAGGCTGCGGGTTTCTGGGGCTGAGGGTGGGGGCAGGTCCCCCCGGCCTCTGCTGCACCCGGTGCCGGTCAAGACCGCGTCCTTTCCTTTCCTTTCCCGCTCCGGGCCGGGCCGGGCTTGAGTGCGCTCGTCTCTTGCAGGATCGCGGAGTTTCGGGACGTGCTGGGCGAGGCCGAGGTGGCTCTGCCGAAGCTCCGCGCGCTCTGCTTCAGCGGTAAGGGGCTTGCCACTCGGGGGACCCCGGGCGTGCGGCGCCCTTGCCAAAAGAGACCCGGGCGTCTCTGAGTGCTGGGGTCTAGAGCAGCCCCCAAGCTTGGCAGCTGTGGTGAGCATGAAGGCCTGTGCTTCAGGCCCCTCCGTGGTGGAAACCGGGGTGTTGCTCCGCGGCAAGCGGTCCTGGGTGGTGGTTCCTGTCTTTTGGCACTTGCTTTCCTTCCAGAGCAGCCATGCTCTTTCCAGCGGGCGAGAGGAATTTGAAACGTTCGGCTTGAGGTGTCATGCTCCGCTCTAGAGGCCTCGCTAATGTTCAACAGTTAATGCTGGTCTCTCCCTTGCCAGCTCTGTGAATGTTTAACGAAGCAGAGCGATTTTTTTTTTTTTAATGGATGTAGTTGAAAGAGACGTGTGCTGTTTTGGAGGCTCTGAAACCTTGCTATCTCTTGGTGCTGTCTGAAGCTTTGGTGTGCTGACAAGCTCTTTCTCTCCTGTTTGCCACAAAATGGCTACTAATGTCTTCACTTGCGAGACCCTGGTTTGTGCCTCGCCTGGAGGATTCTTCCATCCTCCGGGAGAGCTTGTCATTTTCCTTGTGCTTCGTTCAGGCTCCTGTTCCTGTGGGAGTGGAGTGTGCAGATGACTCTTACTTTCCTAGATTAACTCTTTTGGGGAACCTGGAGCTTCTGAATGTCTCTAAAGCTTCTTGCCTGCTAGAAACACGCTGCCTTGCTGTTCACTTGGTTGCATCAGCATAATGCAGTGGAAGGGCTGGGGCTTACTGAAGTGACTGTTTGCCCGATGTTTCACAGGGATTCCTTTTGACGGCGGGCTGCGCTGCCTCTGCTGGAAGGTGGGTTTTTGCTTGGGGCTTTTCTCTTCTGTGAGTAACCCTCTGGATTGTTTTAATCTGGCAATGTATTGTGCACTGAAAACCAGAACCTTTTGATGGCTCTGACTGACTTATCGCCACCTTGGGAGTTGCTGTGAATCTACAGCCCTTGATGATTTTCGGAGTAGTCAGAAAAAGGGACTGGAAATAGTAATAACACTTCTCCCCACACAAACGTATCTGTCTGTGGTGCAAGCACAGCCCTGGTATTAAGCCAGGAGCTCAGCCCAACTAGAGTTTTGCTTCTTGTGTGGAATTCCTTCCACACACCTTTGCACAGAGTGATGGTAAAACATGACCCTTGCTCCTTCCCACTCCCCCAACTCTGCAAATAACCAGTGGGTGTTCAAGAAACTCCAGTCTTCCTCAAGGAGCCAGTTCAGATTCCAACAACCTTCCCCATTAGGTTAGCAGTTTTGGTGGTTTGTTAACACTGTCTGATCCAAGGAGTAATGTGTGCTTGGCTCTTCTATTCAGATCCTTTTGAACTACCTCCCAGTGGACAAAGCAGTATGGAGTTCTCTGCTGAAGAAGCAGAGGTATAGATGCCCTCACTTCCTCTTTCTTTTTGTCCTTATGTTACAATAGTTCCTAGTGTTTGGGGGTGGAAAGGGGAGCAGGCATACAGCACTTTCCTAAATAGTGGTGTAAACTTGCATGCCTTTGCCTGGAAGAATGGGTTTTCTTGCCCCTGTTGTCTTGGAGAGAGAAGCTGGCTGAATACCTCCTGGAAGAGGAAGGTCAGCTGTTCTCTGGCTGAGCAGGATGGCTCTGAGACCTCTGTCCAAGTTTAGCTGGATGTTTTTTTTTTTTTTTTTTTTTTTTTTTTTTTTTCCTTTT